GGCAAGTGTCACGTTGTCGGCTTCGTGGTTGGTGTTGCGTGTTGCGTGTTGCACATGGACACCCACCTGGCACGTATCCTGAAGATGCCAACTCAGTTTTGCATTCATCGTCAGGAAAGGATTGCCAAGGTCGGTCCAAATTTCTCCCAGCTAATGCAGCAATTGAAAAAGTATTGGCTGAAGTCTGTGGCATTTAGGATGCCAGGAACTCGGTTGCGTGGGAAGCCCGACAGAGACTCTACAAGCAACGAACTTGCACGGCCTTTTTACTTGGTTTCAATCGGCCGCTGGATGTATGCGGCCTGAAGCCTGCATTTGGCTCTGGAACAGAGATTGGTTTCCAGACGTCGGTAGTATAAGTTCAGCCCTTTGCCGGCGGCTCGAAGGTCGAAGGTAGGATGAGGTCTGCTATTTCTTCATTGATGTCTGGGTGCTATGTAGTTAAAATGGCGTCACCGTATGCACAAACAGCCTAAACTGAAGACCCTATCGCCTCTGAGCTCGGCGAGAGCGTCCTTCCCCCAGTCCTCGCACCCCAGTCATCGCAGGCCTTCCTTGCCCTGCCTTGCCCAAGTAACCAGCTTAGGGTTTAGGGTTTAGGGTTTAGGGTCAGACTTTTCGAGCCTCAGGTGTTAAGGCCACGTGTCGTAAATCAGGGTCTTGGGAAGGTCAAGCTTGGCGCGCCGGTGAGCATGTTGCTCAGCCGTCCCAGCAAGGACACATGGCGGGGGGGGGGGGGGGCACCATCTGGCTTTAGAGTTTTCGGTGAGGGGGTAGGGTTTTAGGGTTTAGGGCTTCCGGGTTTGGGGGGATACCATGAGTTCGAGAACCCACAGCGCGCGACCAAACGAGTTTGTTCTTGCTAATCCCATGATTGCTGCTGGAAACCCCCACCCCCACCCGCAACCCCACCTCCCACCCCCCACCCCTTCTCTCAGAAACCAGGACTTGAACATTCTGCCAGCACTGCTGTGCCTCCTCTCAGTGTCGCAATTGTTCTTCATCCTCTTCTTCGTACATCTCCTCATGTGCCTCTCGCATACGGTCACTGCGACTCTTGCAGAACCCTAAACCCTAAACCCTACTAAACCCTAAACCTAATGAGCGCCCTGTGAGCCAGGACAGGCTCTCCGTCACCTCGGGCATCCGCAGCAGATGCAGCAGCTCCTCCAGCTTCGCTGCCATCTCGACGAGCTCTAGCCGCAGCCCAAGAAGCCCACGTCGTGAGGTGGGGGGTTTCTGCAAATAGGGGTAATCTTTGGGAGGTTCCCAAAATAAGGGTTGTACTATTCTGGGTGTTTTAAGGGTTACCCCTTATTTCTGGAAATACCCAGGAGGGAAGCTGCGTGTGGTGGCGATCACGGGCTCTCAGCTGGCCTTAAGTGCAAAGGTGCCAGTTATGCTCTGGCTCAGGTTCCGAAGACGATCATGATGAATCTTCGGATGAAGGGGGCATCGAGGCCGTGTTGACGTCCCACGGGCCAGCTTGTAATGCGGAACCTCGCACATGAAGAGCTGGAGTCAGTGCTGCACTTGTGCAACAGTGACAGTGTCGGGGTCTACATAATTGCTTCATCTTACGGCACACCGACAGCCGTCGGGTGTCATCTTGACTGACGTGCAGGACTACACAGGCAAAAGCATCGACCTGGCCGTGTTCCACCTGATTTGTGCCAAGATGGTGGCAGATGTGCGAGACCAATTTCAGCCTGAAGTCAGAGCTTCGATTTTACCGCCACCTGTTGGACAGTTTGAATCCAAGTTTCGGCTTAATTTGGGGGCATAAATAATAGGTGTAAGCCCAGCATGCTCACGCATCAGAAACATGCTCTGGCAGCTGCTTGACTTGCATGATGTTGCATGAAAAGAGCCCTGCGACAAGAGATGCGAAGTATGTTTAAAGATAGTAAGGTTGTGTGAGAACTATGCTCCACGATAAGGAGATAGGTAAACTTGCTTTTAGGCTGGCAAGGGATACATGTAGTAAGTCATGGCGTGGTCGCTTAGCATTTCTAGCGCACCCTGCTGGTCGTTGCCCTCCTGTGGACTACAGCTTCGAGCATGGTTCACATCCTGCCAGCTTTCAGAGGTGAAGATGGTGGCTTTTTTTTGCAGTACTGGTGTACCAAACTCTCAGAGCTTAGCACCTCCTTGTCAGAGCTTTCTGCCTCGTTTTGCTGAGTGTCTTGCCCCGCCGTTCTGTGTACGAGCTCCCGCATGGCGCACGCAGCTCGGCGGCTGACGCACTTGTGCGGACTCCTCCGGGTGACCCCTGGCTTGCCGGCGGTGCGACTCGTGCGTTGCGCCTCGACGACAAGGGAGGAGCACTTCCTGGACGTGAATGGGAGGCGGTTGCGGCTCGGCAGCCAGCAAATGAGAAGCATGCTGGTTACATCGTCGCCTCGTTAAACCACTTTTCAGTCATCCCACATATCTCACCTCAAAAATTTCCAAGTCTATCAACCGCCGCGGTGCACAAAAGTCTGGTCAAGAAGCCCCCAAACCAATCGCGCATCCTGTGTCCCGATACATTTTCAACTGATTCTAGCTGGGTGTTGTTTGCACGGTCTTTTTGCTGGTTTGCTTGTGTGCTCCTGCTCGTTGACCGTACCACAAAACTATTTCAGACTGCAATGTGGGCTGGCAAACCTGATTTTGGGTCCTTTGTGGGACTCTCTTTACACGCGAGAATATGTTCTTGTTTTGCCGTGGAGTATATTGGACGAAGGCGATGAACCTAGCCCAATCTGGGCCCTTATAGTAGCAACCTCAACCGGCTCTATTACTCACACTAGGAATGCCTAGGGGTGCATGGAGGGCGGTCGCAGGCTTCGGTCCTTCAGGGGTGCAGGACGGGTTCCCATTCGGGTGCAAAACCTCTACAGCCTTCGACCCAAGCTAAGACGAGATGCTGCGCGTCCTCTCCTTCGACTCATCTTTGCTTATAGTTTAGATGAAAAGTGTGTGTGCGGTGCCTTCCGTGTTGTCGCATACGGAAAGAAAGGAGTGAGTGCTTCATTTTTTCATAGTCAGCTTGCTGTCCATGTAAATCCTCTTGTCATGGACGTGGGTGAAAGGTATGTGCTGACCGCCGGAGATCTGAAGAGCTCTCCAGGCAAGCCTCCATGCTGGTTGTGGCAGATATTGACAGATTCGTACTGGGTCAGCAGATGCCCTCTTCGGCCCGAGACCCCCCCTTATACATAAAGGACAAGGAAGGTAGCACAGCCGGAAAAAATACGAATCAGAGACCAGAGAGTCGAATCAGAGACCAGAGGGTCGAATCAGAGGCCAGGCTCGGAATCAGAGACCAGAAAGGCAGAATCAGAGACCAGATGCCAGAATCACCCCCCTCAGGATCAGAGACCAGACAGGGCCGAATCAGAGACCAGGCAAGGCCGAATCAGAGACCAGGCAGGGCTGAATCAGAGACCAGACAGGGTGGCTGCCGAAACCAAGGGTTTATCAAGAGAAAGCAAAGGGTTCATTGTTGTAACCACTGGTTTATTTGCCAAGACAATGCCCGCATCGTGGGTTTGGAAGGGATTCGTTTGAAGCAGGCTTGCCCGAGGTAAAAAAAGGGGTTTGGAACGGATTCTTTTGAAGCAGGCCTGTCCGAGTAAAAACAAACGGCACAAGCCCGAGGAGAAAAAAAGAAAAAAAGCGGGGGGGTTGGGGGGGGCGCAGCCCCCCCCCATTTGGCAAGACAATGTCCGCATCGTGGGTTTGGAATAGATTCGTTTGAAGCAGGCTTGCCCGAGGAAAATAGAAAAGCGGGGGGGTTGGGGGGGGGGGCGCAGCCCCCCCCCATTTGCCAAGACAATGCCTGCATCGTGGGTTTGGAAGGGATTCGTTTGAAGCAGGCCTGCCCGAGGAAAATAGACAAGCGGGGGGGTTCGGGGGGGCGCAGCCCCCCCCCCATTTGCAAACACAATGCACGCATCATGGGCTTGAAGCGATTCGTTTGAAGCAGGCTTGCCCGAGCCCCCCCATTTGCCAAGACAATGCCCGCATCGTGGGTTTGGAAGGGATTCGTTCCAAGCAGGCTTGCCCGAGTAAAAAATGGGTTTGGAACGGATTCATAATGAAGCAGGCCTGCCCGAGTAAAAACAAACGGCACGAGGCCGAGCAAAATCCCCCCCCCCCATATGCAAACACAATGCACGCATCATGGGTTTGGAAGCGATTCGTTTGAAGCAGGCTTGCCCGAGTATAAAATACAAGCGGGGGGGTTGGGGGGGGCGCAGCCCCCCCCATTTGCCAAGACAATGCCCGCATCGTGGGTTTGGAAGGGATTCGTTTGAAGCAGGCTTGCCCGAGGTAAAAAAAAGGGTTTGGAACGGATTCTTTTGAAGCAGGCCTGTCCGAGTAAAAACAAACGGCACAAGCCCGAGGAGAAAAAATAAAAAAAAAAGCGGGGGGGTTGGGGGGGGCGCAGCCCCCCCCCATTTGGCAAGACAATGTCCGCATCGTGGGTTTGGAATAGATTCGTTTGAAGCAGGCTTGCCCGAGGAAAATAGAAAAGCGGGGGGGTTGGGGGGGGCGCAGCCCCCCCCCATTTGCCAAGACAATGTTTGCATCGTGGGTTTGGAAGGGATTCGTTTGAAGCAGGCCTGCCCGAGGAAAATAGACAAGCGGGGGGGTTCGGGGGGGCGCAGCCCCCCCCCCCATTTGCAAACACAATGCACGCATCATGGGTTTGAAGCGATTCGTTTGAAGCAGGCTTGCCCCCATTTGCCAAGACAATGCCCGCATCGTGGGTTTGGAAGGGATTCGTTCGAAGCAGGCTTGCCCGAGTAAAAAATGGGTTTGAAAGGGATCCTTTTGAAGCAGGCCTGCCCCAGTAAAAACAAACGGCACGAGCCCGAGGAAAATCCCCCCCCCATTTGCAAACACAATGCACGCATCATGGGTTTGGAAGCGATTCGTTTGAAGCAGGCTTGCCCGAGCATAAAATACAAGCGGCGGGGTTGGGGGGGGCGCAGCCCCCCCCATTTGCCAAGACAATGCCCGCATCGTGGGTTTGGAAGGGATTCGTTTGAAGCAGGCTTGCCCGAGTAAAAAATGGGTTTGGAACGGATTCTTTTGAAGCAGGCCTGTCCGAGTAAAAACAAACGGCACAAGCCCAAGGAGAAAAAAAAAGCGGGGGGGTTGGGGGGGCGCAGCCCCCCCCCATTTGGCCAGACAATGTCCGCATCGTGGGTTTGGTACCTCCCAAACTTTGGGTTGGGTTGGTCGGGTTGGTTGGGTTGGTCGGGTCGATCGGATTGGTCGGGGCGGTCGGGCGGGTCGGGTCCGGTTGGGTTGGTCGGGTTGGTCGGGTCCCTTTGCCCACTTCTGAGGGTCCCTCGCTGCTTGAATTGGGTTGGTCGGGTTGGTTGGGTTGGTCGGGTCGATCGGATTGGTCGGGGCGGTCGGGCGGGTCGGGTCCGGTTGGGTTGGTCGGGTTGGTCGGGTCCCTTCGTCCATTTCTGAGGGTCCCTGGCTGCTTGAATTGGGTCGGGTTGGTTGGGTTGGTCGGTTCGATCGGATTGGTCAGGGCGGTCGGGCGGGTCAGGTCCGGTTGGGTTGGTCGGGTGGGTCGGGTGGGTTGCTTGGTCAAGGGGTCAGGGGCCGGTGGGGTGGGTCGGGTCGGCTTGTTGCTGCGCCACAGGACGGTGCCGATAGCATTCTGCCACAAGGGTACGTCATGGTGGCTGAATGCAATGGTCTACTCTTTCAGTCGCTGCGTTCACTGGTGAGGGTCCCTGGCTGCTTGGGCTGGGTGGGTCGGGTTGGTTGGGTTGGTCGGGTCGATCCAATTGGTCGGGGCGGTCGAGCGGGTCGGATCCGGTTGGGTTGGTCGGGTTGGTCGGGTGGGTTGCTTGGTCGGGGGTCAGGGGCCGGTGGGGTGGGTCGGGTCGTCTTGTTACTGCGCCACAGGACCGTGCCGACAGCATTCTGCCACAAGGGTGCGTCATGGTGACTGAATGCAATGGTCTACTCTTTCGGTCGCCTCGCCCACTTGTGAGGGTCCCTGGCTGCTTGGGTTGGGTTGGTCGGGTTGGTTGGGTTCGTCGGGTCGATCGGATTGGTCGAGGCGGTCAGGCGGTTGGGTTGGTCGGGCTGGTCGGGTGGGTTGCTTGGTCGGGGGTCAGGGGTCAGTGGGGCGGGTCGGGTCGGCTGGAGTCTGTACTCGCGAGCCTTGTCTCTGAATCCGATGTCTGGTCTCGGAATCTGGGAGCTTGGTCTCTGAATCTGGTCTCCTGCTGGTCTCTGATTCCCCCCTGCTGGTCTCTGATTCGGCCCTGCTGGTCTCGGAATCCCGTGTCTGGTCTCAGAATCTGGCTGCCTGGTCTCTGAATCTGGTCTCCTGCTGGTCTCTGATTCCCCCCTGCTGGTCTCTGATTCGGCCCTGCTGGTCTCGGAATCTGTTCCCCTGATTCGGCCTTCACCCAGCACAGCCGGCACAGTGTGGCCTGCTGTGTGGAGCTCCGGGGTTTTTAGAAGGCTGAAGTTGTGTACTTCCCGGGTCGAGATTGAGTCTTGCGCAGGTCTACCGGTGATTTGCTTGCCTGGCGCAATGGGAACGGCGGAAACGGACTGGAAGTCAATCTGCTTCAGGTTTTCATACACATGTAAATCACATCTACTCAAGTACACACTGCTGGGGCACACCTGCTTACTTTTCAGTGGCTTCCTACATCTGACAGACTCCGAAATTCAAGCAAAGGATCCATGCAAGTTCCCAGATTCGAATTCCGAATGTCAAAGCTGGACTTCCACGAGCTTGTGGCAGGACTTTGCTCTTCAGCTGGACGGGCTTTCGCAGCAGCATGGCGTCGTGGCCTTCGACCCACGGGGGTATGGAAAGTTTGGGCCTAAGGCTCACTGTGACCTCACTTTCAAGACACCCCTGCCATGCCGCAGAGAGAAGCTTCGTGTCCCAGGTCACGACCACCAAATCGAAGGTATCCGGCCGACTTCTATCACCTAGACGCCTCGGATGCTGCAGCCATCATGGACTCGCTAGGTGGGGCTCGGTTGGTTGGTGGGTGTGTGTGTGTGTGTGTGTGTTGGGGAGGAAGCAAGGAATGAAGGTCAGAAGGAAGGAGGGAAACAAGTTGTGGGCTCTTCTAGGATGTGTAATACCACACGAGCATTGTGTTTGCAATGGACGGCCACCTGCTTTTTTTCAATCGGACTTGCTGACTTGCTTGAAAACCAGATTGTGAGTCTTGTCCTGAGAAAAGAGCAAAGTTTCCTTTGCTTTGAATGTTTGATTGTTAAGAAGTTTGTTGCGTGCATAACAATCTCAAAACAAGGAGCTCTGAACCTTAAACCCATCTGAACCTCTAATCTTAGGGATACTTGGGAATCATGTTGATTTTCTGGGCACTATAATTCCTAGGCAACAGCTAGAAACATACATTTTTGCTAGGGCTCCAGGTTCAGCATAGAAGTATCGGATATGCCTTGAATTCACAACTTTCATTGCAGGCATCACCTCCTACAACGTGATCGGCTGGAGTGATGGCGCCATTTCCGCCACCATCCTCGCCTCCCAAAGGATCCTTGCCCCTTTGAGTGCTCGAGGGGTCCAGCTGAGTGGGTTCCATGGGGTTTAGGGTTTAGGGTTTAGGGTTTAGGGCCCTGTCCGTCCCATTTAATGTGTACCATTTAATGTGGGCACGTATGACACCCTAAGCTGGGATAGCTGGGTGAGCTACTCGCAAAAGATTCAGAAATCACTAAAGTGAGAAGGCTTCCAGGTTAAGGCTTGAAAACACCCCCCCCCCCTCCAAAAAAAAATCCAAAAAAATCAGTGCACCTCTTCACCAAATCTCTGTCTGAAAGCGCTGTTCTGCTTCCTTGCCACAATGGAGTCATTGATGCCCATCGGCAGGCCGGAGGCTGTCAAGAAGTTGGCTGTGTTTGGCATCCAAGGCTTCTTGGAAGGGTTTAGGGTTTAGGGTTTAGGGTTTAGGGTTTAGGGTTTAGGGTTTAGGGTTTAGGGAAATCGTCGCTACAGTTTGTGCCACCACTGTCATGTTGTAGCTGTATTGGCACGACTGACGCAGTGTCTTCTGCCGTTGGCTGTGCTGCAAGGTTCCATAACCAAAGAGGACGTCGATGCTTATGAGGAAAGCGGCAATGCGTTCTGCACATGTTCTTAAACACCCACAATGTGCTTCATTTCGACGATGTCTTGGCAGATCTTTGCAGCTAGCATCTGAAAAAGTTAGTCTTCCTGTGACACCGCGAAGTCCACCCAAGACCTAAACCCCAAACCCTACTGTAGTCCTTTCTGGCCTGCAAGGGCCTGCGTGACGTGGAGAAAGCGTGGAGCAAGCGAATGCTCGAAACACATCGGCCGGCCGCTTGACAGCCTCGTACTGCGCCCAACATTCTACTAATTGCTTAAAAACCCCCTTTTTTTTTTGTTGGGGGGGGGGGGGGGGGGGGGGAAAAAACAGAAATATTCTTCCTTAAAAGGGCAATTGTTTTTTTTAATTTCTGTGGGGGGCTCTGAGGCAAATAGTAGAGAATTGAGATCCACGATCTCCTTCCACCTCTATTGCAGTTCTTCTGGTTTGTCGCTGTGACACAGTGGGCACTCTGATTGTACTGGAGATAGAAACGGTAGGAACTGCGCCGACTGAAGGGGCCTTAATAATTATAACAGGGTTTTGGGGGGTGATTGTCGTAGAATTACATAGGGGCCATAAGGGAATGCTAACTAGTAGTTATTCCGACCCCTAGTGAGGTCTATGGTGAAGACTTGCAGCCTATGTGGAGCTCATTTTGCGATGTCCCTTGGCAAGAGATTGGCCGGAAGATGGCGGAAGATTTAGGGTTTAGGGTTTAGGGTTGCAAGGAACTGCGGAGAAAACTTGGCTAGACCAGTGACTGCAATGGCCCCTAGCTCATACGCACCTGCCAGGCCATGAAGATGATGTATGACGCTGGGGGAGACATCTGCCAGAAGGAGGCGAAGCAGATCAAGTGTCCCACCTTCATTCTGCAGCTCGGCGGTGAATGCTGGCCAGATTCTGCAAGACTGCGGCATTGTTGAAAATCATCTTACATGTTTAAGAATACTTCAAACCCAATGAGGAACAAAAATGATAGTTTTTATAGAGTGCCCCAACAATGGTGAAGAAGAGCATGTCGCAAACCCGAAAGGCACACCGTTCTTTGAGCTCTCCAGCTTTCTTCCTATATGCATGAGTATCCGCTGCCAGTGCATCTGCCTAGGCACCCTGTTACCTCTCCCAGCCCCAAAGCCAAGACCCAAAGCCAGATTTCATCAGTAGTAAACGTCATCTGCAACAATCATTCAGTAGTCTTCATGTTTAGCACTCGCTTCGTCTGCCCAACATCCGAAAGCGTTGTAGTTCAGAGCATCGCAGCTACAGCGTCCGCAGAAGAAACACCAACGTTGGGGGGAAAAAACCTCCGCCCAGCATCAGTCATAACAGCTCCTCGGCATGGGCAAGGCAGCCATAAAACCGACCGGTTTAGGGTTTGGGGTTTCGGGTTTGGGGTTTGGGGCTTGGGGTTTTGGGGTTTGGGGCTTGGTGTTTGGGGCTGGGGGTTTGGGGTTTGGGGTTTGTGGTTTGAAGTTTAGGTGCCCAAGCCTAGAACCGCTGTCCGTGAGTTGCTGAGGCACGGGGCGAAGGACCCGCTTGTGCCGCAACATCACCCGGAGTGGTTCCATCAGGCCATTGCTGACTCCAAGCTTCACGTCTTTCCTGTGCCTGGGCTGATGGCTTCGATAGGTGGTTGTTCACCAGCTTTCCATTTTTGGGGGGCCAAGAATCGTGTGTTCAAGGATTCTTCGGGGTGTGGTATTTCAATCGTTAGCGACTTGTAGCGTTATGTCGTCTAGGAACGTTGAACACTTCCCTCACCTTCCCTGCTCAGGAAGGCAAGCACAACATTCATCAGAAGTTTTCCGACGATTTCAACAAGCTGCTTCTGGAGTTCTTCGCTGAGTAAGGCCAGCGGCTGGCTGAAACCCACAGAATCCGTGCAGTCAAGATGGCCGAGGTGCTTGAGGGGTTGTTGCGTAGCAATGACGTAGCATGCTTGAGATGTTTCATGTTGGCCCTGCGCTCCAAAACTCAAAGACACCCAGACTCGCACGTCCGAAAAACTGTCGCGTCGTGAGTCGTGATTGCGTCTGGGCTGTTGGGCGGCCAATAACTATCGAGCACCAACTCTCCACTGGTGTGTAGTAGCTCATCTCTATATTCTATGGAGCAAACGAATCCGGTGGAGTAATCGAATCCTACTGATAAGGGGCACTGACTAGTCATTGTACCTGCATCTGTTCTTTGTTTAGTCTACATCAGTTTGCTCACCCCTAGCCCCCCTCAACTTATATGTGTGAAATGTCATGTGTATGTACATATACATATCTAGTCTTTCTGAATCTGTCCATCGGGCGTGCATATCTGCACAGGTCTTCAGCCAAGATTCTCTCGGCCCAGAAGTTGGTGAGGGGCGCTGAAGCCTTCTCCACAAGACGACCGCTGCTAGCATTGGCTGAAATGGCTGAACAAAGCTTGCGCGACTCCCGTTGCAGGGCAGCCTGCACTTGCCAACCTTTAGCGAGAAATCTGGTACTAAAAAACCACTATAGCCCCCTTTTAGGATTTCTCCATCTGCACAAAAAACCCAAAGGAATAATAAACATGCATGTTTATTGAGGTTCTAAGGTTTACCAACTAGCTGTAACTAACGCTGTTCCGGTGGCAGCCCCCCCACAAGGACAGTAACTTCTTTGGTACGTATTCTTCGTACTCTTCGGAGCCGTGAGTGCGTGGATGGTCCCAAGGCCAAACTCGCTGTGAGGGCCAACGCAGGGCGATGATCTCAGCTGGTCGATCAGGGGAGCAGATTCTGGCACTCTGCCTAATTTGATTGCTATAGTCGGAATAATTACGAATATGCATATGATTCCCTCAGATTCCCCCCCCGAAAAAGAAAAAAAAACCTATTCGAGTCATTCAGGCCCCTATGTTAAATAAACCCTAAACCTAAACCCTAAACCCTCAGAGGTACACCATGGAGGAGGTGGCCGTGATGCGCGAGAAGTTTGGCTCTCAGTCCGCGCAGCTGGATCGGATGCTTCCGAAGATGGGGGACCCCATAGGGTTTAGGGTTTAGGGTAGACATCCAAGGAGTAGGATCCCCTTATGGTAAGGACCCCAGTAAGGTACCCCCTACTTTCGGAAACCCCCATCGGATGCTCGAATGCCCGAACCAAGGCGACCAGCCTTCAGATTTTGCTTTGGCCCTTCATTTTAAAGAACTGTTAGGTCACTAAGGGGGATACCCCTAAACCCTAAACCCTAAACCCTAAACCCTAAACCCTAAACCCAAAACCCTATATCAAATAGCACCAGCAAGCTGCGTGGTACCAAGCCCGTGAGGTTCGCACGGTATGACGCCGATGGCAGTGGCGACATCGACAACCACGAGCTTGGCAAGCTTTTCCAGGAGTGAGAATGACATGCCTAGTCAGGTAAGCACCAGCAAGAGCATGCTGCCATGACGGCCAGGACCTGTGTCCTGACATGGCATCCAATATGGCCAAGCGCGCCGAGGTTGCGCGAATACTCGCCGAGGCTGACAGGGAGTGAGTGAAAGTTTTTGCGGCGCATGTTGATGATGCTTGCCGGTGAGCTGGCTAATGGTTGTGTGGCTCTGTGAAGGTCGATCCAGACAAGACAGGATCTTTGGACTTCCCGGACTTCTTGAGGCTGTCCCTCCTATCATTCGGTCCGAAGAATTCGCCATTGTTTGCGGGCAACGGCTGCTCCTCTCGCATGACATCCCATGCAAAGCTACCCAGCGCACCGCATCGCAATTTCACGTGAGCTCATGAGAAAACTAACCATAAACCCTAAACCCTAAAGCATCCCTGAGCTCTCATAGCTTTTGCAGCATCCCCCGGCTCGTTTGCCAGGCTCATGCGTCAGGTGGACGACATGCAAGACCGCCTGCGCATGGCCAAGGACCGTGTGCCATCGCGTCTCCCCCAGACTGCTCAAGATTGGTGCTTCACCGCTGGAGAAGAAAGCTGTAATTCTACTACTAGTTGCTTAGTTGCTTAACTTAAGAACCCCCTAAAAAATGAAAAAGATTCTTCCTTACAAGGGTCATTTAATATAGGGATTATTGTTTTTTATTCTTTTGGGGGTCTTAAGCAATAGTAGTCTAGGTCGAGGTACCCCGGCTCTCTTGAAGTTGAGACCGCCCCTTTTCAGAAACGACTGCACGCCCTGATGATACCAGTACCCTGAATTTCTTAATGAATGTCTCATTTCTTAGAAACTTTATCTCCCAAAACTCAATTCAGAGACAGCAGGCTGGATGTCTCAGTCTGCTTTTGAGGTAGTTGGGTTTGGAGGGAGAAATCCAGTGTTTGGGGGCCAAGGCTGGGCCCAAATGGCGTTTTCTTGACTTAAAGCCGTGTTGGCTCTGTACTCCATTATGTGTTGCTCCTGCTCCCGTTCTTTCGGCAGGAAGCTTTCGCGGTGGAAAAGACAAAGTTTTCATCGCGGGAGGCGTGGTGGGTAAATCCATACCCGGTGTCACGGGTTTGGTTCGCGGGGGCTTGCCTATCTTGCCCCAGGTGAGCGGCAGAGGTAAGTTCCTGGCGCGGCAAATCTCGAACGCACTCAAACCTCGTAGCCCAACATTCCCTACGCACCTTTATCAGCACAACAGGTGGAGGATTTTCGGCGGATCTTCCTGGGCGAGGAGCGGGCACTAGATATCGGCCATGACGAGGGATCTGTGGGGCTTAGGGAAAGTTTAGGGCTGGGAGGTTTAGGAAGTTCTGGTCACTTAGGGTTGCTTGACAATCGCATTGCACGGGCTTCGTCGTTGGTTCTACTGACACTGGTGCGCCACTGTGAAATCTTGAGGTTCAGCTGCCCGTCCATGCAGTGCGAGATTTAAAAAAGGGTCGCATGACAAGCCTGCCGCTAAGAACGTGGACAGCGTGCCCAAACAGTTCGGGCAGAGAGGTATGCAGAGGTGTGACAGACAGCTGAGTGTTTTTCAACATGAGCAGGATGGGGGGTCTAGGGGCTGGTTGCATTTGGTACATGTCGGTTTTGTCTAAACCCTAAACCCTAAACCCTAGACCCTAAACCCTAAACCCTAAACCCCAAACCCTAAACCCTAAACCCTAAGCGCAGCAGGAGTCCGAAGATGGATCCATGCGCGGCATCCTTAGGTTGGACGAGGCGTGGAGCCATCTGCCAGTGCCATCCTGCGCCATCACATAAGGCTTCGAAGGATCAAGAGGTTTAGGGTTTAGGGTTTAGGGTTTAGGAGGCTTTAAGCAAGTGGACGTGGATGTTGCTTTGCAAAGTCATGCAAGCTTTTCACGCTACTCTGGTTGGATGTGGTATGGCCCGAACACAATGCATGCGACTCGCGCGAATCACTTCGCCCAGTGCAGTTACTGGTGCCTGTCTGTGTTACAGCAAGCAAGCTGCCCTAAATCCTAAACCCGAAACCCTAAGTGGCAGTCCTGACTTGCTTAAATCTTCGCCTGAGCGTCACTTTCTTCTGGCAGTTTCTAGAGATGCTGGGCCCGGTCGTTGGACTTGGCAAATCGAATGCAGACGAGCTGTGGGCAGCTCAGATGCTTTGCCTTCAGGTGTGTGAATTGGGATGTTCCCCCTTGTACTACTACTACGAGTCCTTAATCGGGATAAGAGCACCCGCCTAGTATAATCCCTATTAAGGACTCTTTGTATCAGGCGGGAACATCCCAATGTATGAATGCTCCGAGCCGCGATATGTTACCAGTCCGTCTTTCGGAGGACGTGCCTCTTCTTTGACATCGATTCCCACATGCATGCAGATTTCAGGGAGAAGGCCATGCTGTAAGCAGTGTCTTTCTTTTACAACTGGCACAATGCTAACTATTGCTAAAGCCCAAAGACATCGTCATGATAGAGTTCCCGTGCCTATTTGGCTCCGTCACCGCGGTTGCATGCTTCACAAGTCCACTCTGCAAAGGTAGTCGCCCCGCTGAGTCCCAAGAACCAGCGTTACGAGACTCGGTCAGAAAAGGTTTAGGGTTTGGGGTTTAGGGTTTAGGGTTCTGTGACTGAACTGTTATTGGCACGAGGAGAGCATGCCTGTCAACAAGCCTCGCAGCAAGCTCAGAGGAGTGCAATGCATGTTCACACGTTGTCACAGGGGGAGAAGACCACGAAGAGCTCCTAAACCCTAAACCCTAAACCCTTGCGTCGAGACCGCTGAGGAATTGCGGTGGACTTCCCCGAGTTCTTGATCCTGATGCGTCCTGGCTGGTTTGGTCCGAACTTGGTTGAGTTCCTGCCTGAATGAAGGATTGTCAAGCAGGCTTGGAACTCTGTCTTGCTATCAGGCACATGCTGCTGCAAAAGAACACCTGCCGAGTCAAGGACGGCGGTTTGGTTTGGCTAAGTGGGCTCACGTTGCAACAGCAAGACATGACAAGCACTGACAGGCGTTGCAATAGCTAAACCACCGTTCTCGGCATTGAAGTGCTTCCCCGACAGGAGCACAGCAAGTACATTGCCGAACTGGGGCACCGCCACTCCATTCCGCAGGTCCACGTTCGTCGACCATCGTACCGGTCGCAAGCTCGATCACCTTCAGTGATGGCCTAGAGCAACCACAACAGTGCCCGCACAGCGACTGCATGCAATAGCTGTGGCAGCTGCAGACAACTACCTTCCCTAAACCCCAAACCCCAAACCCTAAACCCCAAACCTTGAGACGACTTGCAGAACCCAGGCTGCATTGACGCCAGATGGCCGCTTTCTCTGACAAAGCGATGCACAGCGACCTAAGTAACACTGTATGATCAAGCCGGGTAATTACCAGTACTGATGAAGTTCCCTGTGTGATGCTTTGCAGCCCTTTCGCTACTAGTTACTCCTTAGCATGCGATTTCCAACCCCTCCAGCCATATGCGAGCTTGCGTGCGTTCCGCAAGTGAGTGGCAACCTTAATGACCGCCATTTTCGCAGTCTCAAGAAGAGGCAGCAGAGATGAAGCAGGCCCGGGCAACCTCCCAGGCCTGAATGGCCCGAACACCGGACCTCCGGAATCCACGCGCGAGTCGGCTGCCGACTCCATCGGACTCCGCCAGACTGCGCAGCCTCCCAAAAAGACCGCTACAGGACAGTGGGCAGTTGCAAGGCGATGCTTTGGCTAGCACACCCTGTCGGCCAACATGGACCTGAGCACTACCTGAGAGGAAGCTGAGCGCAAGCTGAGCCCAAATTGTACTGTTTTCAAGGGGCTGTGCCCAAGGGTGGGAGGCGCTGGCTGCCAGGATGCTACGCACGAAGCCGAACCAAAGACCCATCAAGGAGCCTCTGGGGCGAGCGTATTGCGAGCGTCGTGAGCATCAGAGGACCCACGCATGGGGGGGGCAACAGCAGCTGAAGCCCCATGGGACCTGTTCGTCACCCAAGATGCAGCATCGTCAACCATCGTCAACACAGAAGAGGACATGTACCCTCGGCGCCGGTGCCCGCCCCCCCCCCCCCCCCCCCCCCCCCCCCCCCCCGAGCAAACGGGCAAACGGAAGACAGCTGATTTAAGGTCATAGGTACTGTGATGATGAGGACTGTCTAGTTGACGCTATCGCGTTGCTCCCATCAAGCGGCCCGACTGCTCAGATGTTTTTCGCCGCCGATGCTTCGGGGGTCTTTAGACAGCGCCCAAAGTCGGCATTTGATGCTTGATGAAGTCTTGGAGGTCGTTGAGGGTCAGGTGCGAACCAAACCGCATCATCCGCAATGTGTAGCGACCCCGGGCTTCAAAGGCAGGATTGGAACATGGCAGGCTGTGAGCGGTAGTGGAGTTCGGCTCAAAGCGCCGAGTTGGCCCTTGTTTTCCTCATCGCAATTGCTGCAAGAACGCAGCCAAGGCCAGATTTGTTCTATCTCACCCGAAACCCGAAACCCTAAACCCTAATCTCAGACAGCCCGGTTTGGGCTTTGGGCACATCGGGGAGAAGGTCGCCTGGCAGGGAGCCTCCCAACGAGGGACACTTGTCCACACCACATTTTATCGGCACCCCGTTGAGAGTTCACGGCTATTGGGCAGCAACGACTTGTAGTGCAAGTTGTTCCAGGCTTGTGTTTCTGCTTAGAGGTTTAGAATCAGCTTCTGTTCAGGCCCCATGGAGTGCTTGGCTGGCATCACATCGTGGCAAATGCCATTACCCAGGCTGTGAAGCTTCCGGTGGATTGATTCCGGTATACTTGAAATCACCATTTAGTTGAGATCGTCTTTGGCGCAATTCTACTTGAGATCATCAAGACATGCGTTCCTTGAAACGCGGTGGCAGGTTGTCAGAGCTATGCTGCGCTGCTATCCAGCTGGTGTGCTCTGACTGCCGGCAGGGGGGGGGGGGGGGGGGGTTGAGTAGGGTAGTCTGCGCCTGTCCTACCTGCAACAATCAAGTCTTGCAGCGATCCATCATGCCTCCAGGCGACCTTGCCACCTTTCATGATCCTGCCAACGATGCTTCTAGCAGTTTGCCTGGAATCATCCCAGCAACAGCCTGCCTAGGTAACAGCTTCCTCTAATTTTGACCCGAAACAGTAGGATGGACTTATAATCAGGACCCCAATCAGGTACCCCTAATTTCGGAAACCCCCAACATGTTGGGTTCCCTTGTCTCGTGCCTTTCTTCTCGTTCAACGACCTCGCCAGCTTTGATGCATCCTAAGGTCAGGCGACCCAGCCTGGGCCCGGGCATATTCTCATGTGCAGCGATTGCTGAGGCTCTTCCTTGTCACCCACCGATAAGATTCGCAGAGCATCTCACCGAACATTGATGCAGATTCGATCTTAGGGGAATGTCAGGCTTCACGATAGAAGGGAAAGATTGGACGCCTTCCGCGCGAGCGTGTCGGCCACACCTCCTAAGCAGTCGTCCCTTCATACTTCATGTCAGGTGGCAGCCAAAGCAGCAAACTCATAGATCAGAGTTCCCCGTCCTGACCACATGTCATTATCCCATGTTATCCCCTTACTGGCCCATGTGATCTCTGTTAGTCTGCTATGCTTCCCATTCTTTCAAACATCGTGTTCTTAGGAGCTCTACCGGCTTTCCCGCACGTCCACACAAGGCCTGGCAGACTATTCGTGGTAAGGATTGGAGGTAGAGGGTGGTGCAGTTGCCGGGTTCTCGGAGTCCGGAGTGTTGTTCACCTAACGTCCGAAATTGGGTTCAGCTGGGAGCTCGAAGTCGGAATGAGCCCAGGGACTTGCTTCAGAAAGGAATGGTGCGACGTGGTAGTAGGTGTGCTGTCTCAAGTTACAAGTCCAGTCTAAGCCGCAGCAGCCGGCTTCGAGCGATGATGCGAGAATATCAAGCTGCAATCCGATTTCAGGTAGCGGAGCGGCGGCAGACGCGCTGTCTGCGCCGCCACCATCGCAGAACAGCCCCGAAGCTGGTGTGCAGGTGCGACGCAGATTCTTGGCCCCAAGCGTGTGACTTGTGTTTGTTTCATCTCTGGGTGAGAGGTCACGGTCGCCGTTTACGACCTGACATACTGCCGCATTGTCAATCATGTGCTGGGGCCCTAGCACACGTGCGTGAAGCAGACTAGCACGAAATGCTCACGCATGCCTTGCCATGACATGTGTGAGGTTGTGCTTGTGTGGCAGCGGCTTTTATCATGTGGGAGTCGAGGCGTCGGGCTCAGAATGTTCTTTTTTTTGATGCGCCGCAGCTAGCCATGCTCCTGCAGATCTTCAACATGGAGTGGAGTTTCGGTCAAGTACCCGATCCCGGAAATGGGAGCGGCGTGTACTGGATACCGTCTTCCTGGCGAGGTTTCTGTCAATCTACGTACTCTCTATGTCCTGGTCCAAATTCTTCGACGGTCCATGTTGCCAACATTGTCAGGCCAGCGGCAAAAAGGCAAATGTATCCTCCTCGAAAGCTTGTGCGCTTCCACACAGCTATGAGCGTCGAGGAGGTGCCAACGCCTTCATCATTTTCATGGGCCCGGAGGGATTAAGGTTGCCATGTGACGCAAATTCTGCGTCGTTTGCTGCAGGTGACCGCGATTGTGTCCGAGCTACACGGCGAATGGCCGGCGCATGCAGATGTTCCGCATCACAACTTCGCATCGAGACCTTGAGTGCCATCGGCAGGCATGCACGCGACTACCATCTCTTGCAGTCAGGGACTCAGCGCACGTCGGTTCTTCCATCGCATGTTCTCCTTGCTGAAGCAAGGAACAACTGTGGGCATTTTGCCATGGAACTTTGCAGACGCCTCGAAGCCGTGACCTCAGCGTTCAACGCGAAGTACAAATCAGTCGAGACAAGCTCTGTGCAATCCCATCATGCTGCCAAGTACGCTCTGTACACGACTCCCCATCATGGCCCCAAACAGTCTTCGACCTCTTCCGAACAATCCCTGCAAATGCGTTAGTTCATTTTACGGACTTATTGAACCCTTGCTGCCCTTGCTGTTATCTTTTGGGTGTCGGCGTGGTCGTATGAAATTGACAAGCGCTGGGTCGCATCGCACAGGTTGGCCCGTTTCCGACATGGGCCAGGGACTAAGAGATGCCATTTTTTGCACGTTGCCGCGCGCGTTGTTCATTCTACTGGCCTCCTGGTGACGTGCTCTGGGGCATGGACATGCGGTTCATTTGCCGCCCCGATTCTTGTGTTTGCTGCAAGTTTCTCCGCCTACCAAGGCCACGTGCGCGGCAGAAAGACTGTCAACACTCTTCACGAAGGTGGGCGCTTGACGGGCCTAAGCCACAAGGATCCAAAAACGTTTGCAGGGTGCAACACGGACTTTGTGGTGCTTTACTGTAACTTTAGATCTTTAGCCTTTTTGGGTTTCTTGGGTTTCTGAATACTGCAGCGAAAATTTTGATTTACAGCTACCCTTCTGAGTGCAGCCCAGAGGATGTTCAGGATCAACGAGCGAAGGCTAGAAGGCAAAGGAAAACAAGAAAAGGAAGAAAGAAAGGGAGATGAGCCCGCAAGCAAGCATTTCAGAACATCATGCCGTCCACAGAGGAAGTGCTGCAAATACCCCATGAACCCTTCCCTTTCCGGGCAAGCTCGCTCTTAAGAGCATCAGCAAAAACCTTCTGCGTGCTACGCACATGACGCCGTCGAGAGGAAGTGCGGCACATGCCTTTATGACTCCCAAGTACTTCATTGAAAAAGTTGTTGTGGATGGGAAAAAGATGTCTTGATCTTTGGGCCTCAAAGGTAGGAAAGCTTTTTGCTACTTACACGCGTTTTTCATACCTCACCCCAAAGCGACGGGGAGAGTCTCATCGGCTGTCATCCATGCAACCCTAAACCCTAAACCCTAAACCCTAAACCCTAAACCCAAGTCCCTTGCGGTTGTCTGGACCAGGTCCCGGTGAGCAACGACGATGAAGGCGCGCGCGGACGTTGCGATTGCATCTTTGAGCGTCCAGCATGGTGCGGCCCGAGCACGTAGGGACCCTAAACCCTAAACCCTATACCCTATACCCTGAACCCTGAACCCTGAACCCTAAACCCTAAACCCTAAACCCACAGGAAATTCAGGACATGGACGGCTTGGGACACAACAGGGATAGGGTGGCCGGGGCGCGTAAAAACCAAGATGCGCAACATTCTGGCAGAAGGTATTCGCAGATCGGCGGCTGACATTATGCTCGTTTGGCCAGCAAGCTGGGTGTTGGGATAGTTTGTGCAGCGACAGTGGGGCAACTGTGACTGCGTTGGCTCGAAAAACAGCTACTAGTACCTACCCAATGCGCAAGCGAAAAATGATTTCCAAGACGCGTAACAGCATCGAACTCACTACGCCCCAGTCTTAGGACCTTAGGAGGCCCGCAACCCAACAGAACAATGGTAGTTGACTCCAGAAGCCCGCCCCCCCCCCCCCACCCCCTCCCCCCCAAAATCCACATAAATAAGACACTTTTCGGAAGGGGACCCCTGAGCTCACACCCAAGTAGATGTTGGCTAACACAATGGTTTCTACTGCGACGTACACCCGCGCGAAACACAAATCCCGTCAAAAACTTTGCGCCAGTCCTGGAATTCCAGCTACGTCCGCGGCATTTCGAGATCGCGGATTGAAAAAAGAGCAGCGTGACACGTGACAGGCTGGGTGTGCCGCCTCCAGGCTTGCCCAATCAAGCTCCCAAAGCCTACAGCATCAAGCCAATGTACTTGCGGCACGTTCGGAAATTCGACCCCACCAAGTCTTCGCCAGCGCCGCTGCGCCACCATATACCTCAGTTTGTTTGCATGAGTGTTGCATGTATTTGCTCCGCTCTGCGTCCCGCAGCCGCATTGATCACAGCATGACGCCGGTGCGCTTCGCAGGGCCAGTTTGTGGTGCCTGCGGCCCAAAGGGACTCAAGAGGGCTTTCTCGTTAATTAACTCTCAGCCCGCCTTTAGCATCTTTGCACAATCTGCGTGCTGCCCTCTGCCAGCTTGTGTGTGCATGCAGAAGGTGCTGTGCAAGGTGCCAGATGCGTAGGGAAGATTTAGCTAAACCCTAAACCCTCAACCCTCAACCCTCAACCCTCAACCCTCAACCCTAAACCCTAAACCCTAAACCCTAAACCCTAAACCCTAAACCCTAAACCCATTTCAAAGGTGGTCTAGCAGTACAAAAGCTCAAGTTGGCCAGACTTGCCCTAGGCGTACGCCCCCGCAGACTCTCGAAGCAACGGCGGCTGCTGAGTTCGCGATGATGCATTGAGGCCGAGCGGGACCAACTAAAGGAGGGATCTTCGTAGGGGACCTCAGGGGTTTAGGATCTACTTAGGTCTGTAGGGACTATATACGGTATACATAAGGGTTATATCCTCCTTATACCCTTAAGCAATGGTGGGGAAAAGCAGTCCTCCGCGGCTTTCTTGGAGGCCAAAGCTCGGCAACTCATGGGTCAAGCTTCTCAGAAGCAGTGCACGCCTTAAAACGGGCCTGGGTTTAGGGTTTAGGGTTCAGGGTTTAGGGTTTGTGTCATCTCATCCGCCGTCCCTTTTGTCCACCTCCCTGCGCTCCGGCTCTCCCTTTCCCACTCGCTCTTAGTGCTGCAATGATGAGGTTTGGATGGGGTGCTATTGCCCAGTGCGGATGCGTTCACAGCGGGCAGGAGGCAGCAGTTGGATTGCCTGTCAGCACAGGCTTCTTACAGCAATGCTTCAGCAAAGAATGCACTGAGCAGCCACGTCGCCACCTGGTAGGTAGGAGAAGTCCATGTGTAGGGATGGGGAGGGAAGACTTACTGGTGCTTAAGGGAAAGTGGAAGAGTGAAACCCTGTAGTAGTCCCCATATAATCCCTTTATATTAGTCCCCATATTCACTCTTCCACTCCCTTAAGCACCAGGAAGAAGAAGGCCACGGGCCAGATTCTGCCAGACTGTGCCGGAGGCTTCCTTCCTGGAAGCAGACGGGCTTAGCGACGGCTTGAGGCACCTGCACAGAAGCAAGCAAGTGAAGCGAGGGGCGATTGAGACACTATGCCCGCCATGCCACTCCCAAACCCTAAACCCTAAACCCTAAACCCTAAACCCTAAACCCTAAACCCTAAACCCTAAACCCATCCTAAACCCTAATTAAACTGTTGCAAAAACCCTAAACCCTAAACCCTCAGCTCTGACAGGATTCAGGAAGCTGTCGAGTTGGAAGCTGGCTCTGACTTCGGAAGTGGGCCCCGCTCTGAGCAAAAGGCAGACGTTTCGCCATGCTTCATTCGGAACCTCTCTTGGTCGTAGTATCTTTGGGGTGTGTGTGAGAGAGCGAGAGAGAGAGCGAGAGCAGCGTCGTCGCGCTGCGACGAAGCAGGCGCATGTAGGCCCAAGATACTGCCGCGATTTGGATCTGCACCACTCCAAACCTGAACAGATGAGATTTTCTCTGGGAAAGCCCATGAAAGCCCCAAACGCCCCTGACAATCTCAGAACTACTCACTCCACAACGCACCGAGGCGCCGTGTCGTCGGCACTTGGGCACTTGCCCGACGTAGGGCGTGGCTCCCAGTGATGCACCCGTTTCGGGATAGAGGGACGCAAGCCTTGGCCCCTTTGTTGCCGGAAATTGCTCGCAGGTCTTCTCTGCGCACTTGAAGACGAACTTCACCAACCATTATAACATCCTCCGTCAGGCCTGGGAACTCAGAGTCCATTGTTCAAAACTCTTCGGCTCCCTTCGGTCAAGCTGCAGAGCGTAGGGTTTAGGGTTTAGGTTTTAGGGTTTAGGGCTTAGGGCTTAGGGCCTAGGGCCTAGGGCTTAGGGCTTAGGGCTTAGGGCTTAGGGTGTAAAGATGTGTGAAGATGTGTAAAGATGGGCAGAGCCTGCAAGTTGGAGGGACCTTTCGAGCTGGGGAGGCCGCTTAGCCTCGTTGGGTGCAAGGCTGAAGCCAGTGTGAGCCCTGAACTGGGGGGTTTACGAAGATGGGGGACCCCCAAAACAGACCCCTAAAATAGCAGGATTCCCTTACAATAAGGACCCCAAGAAGGTGGCCCCCCTAAATTCCGAAACCCCCATTGCGACCTGTCCCAAGCCTGAGGTGGGTGAGGGCACGTATGGGCTGGTGTTCGAGGCGGAGACGATCAAGATCCTCCCAGTGGGAGGTGCATCTTCCCGTTTTTTTCCTGTTTCGGCAGATCAGGGCCACTGTGTTGAAGTTGCTCAAAAAGGGTGCTGGGCATGGTTCTCATGGACTCTGCATAGAGCAAATCATGGCCGATGACTTCTGTGAGTATCTCTGTCATTGTGGCTTGCGTTCACCCTGTAGTAGAGTAGGTAACATTTAACCTTTTCGGGGTAATCTCCCCTTATAACCCCAAAGGTTAACCTTTAATTCCCCCAGGTTACACTGGACAACTAAGTTTTCATGAGTGTTGAGGAGGCGGCTCCCAGCCATCTCATCCCCGTCGGGTGGCCGTCAAATGCTTCAAGATGGCGGAGGCCATCCTTCCTGGACAAAGATGGGGGTGTACCAAATTCCCTGATATAAGCCCCCAAATAGTAGGACCCCCTTATTAATTAATAAAACCCCCCAAATTAGTCGGATCCCCTTCTTAATAAGGACCCCAGGACCCCCCAAATAAGGCACCCACCTAATTTCGGACACCCCCAGATGTCACAGCCAGAGATTCCGGTGAGCAAGTTGCTGTGCTGCAGCTGGCATCCTCCGAAAAAAGCTGAAGCCCTGAACCCTAAACCCTAAACCCTAAACCCTAAACCCTAAACCCTAAACCCTAAACCCTAAACCCTAAACCCTAAACCCTAAACCCTAAACCAAGCTGAAGTCAAAGCACACATGGTGGTTTCCGAAATTGGGGTGGGGCACCTTATGTTGGGGTCCTTGTTTCTTAGGGAATCCTACTATTTGGGGGGCTCTTTTAGGGGTCCCCTATCTTCATAAACCCCACATGCCATTCGCTGTTGCTGTGAAGGCGAACTCCCGCGATCCGTCCGGTGGGCTCGGCGCCTTTATTTCTCGAGGGGTCGCCATGAGCGGGGGAGGGGATGGGGGTAGGGGGGGGGGGGGGCCGGGGTCCTGGCAATTGAAGTGTTAAGACTTACAAGGTTACTCTGACTTTATGGTAGTGTAGGATTCCTTTTACTACATCAGTACCAATACCAAAATGGACCATTATGCTTGGAGTTTGGGGTGCCGAGGATGGACCAGCCTTTAAAGAACTAGACACTACGACGAGAGGTCGTGCTGTCAGCGGCTGAGGTTTACAAGCAATCGCGCATGTTTTCCACTGAAGTCAGCTTCGGTCAATTAGGGCAGTTTAGGGTTAGGGTTTGGGGCTTGGGGTTTAGGGTTTAAGGTTTGGGGTTTAGGGTGTAGGGTTTAGGGCAGAGCCACTATACGTCTTATGCGGCTCACGAATTGAAATGATGGGAACAACACCAACAACACCTGACAGGCCCGAAGCTGTCCGTAAACGTAGGGCAGAGTCTTTTACATCCATCTGAGGCTCTAGCTGAAGTCTTTTTATCAAAAGTCAAGAGCGAGCCTGGAAGAGAAAGAGAGAGAGGCCTGCGGTGCAGAGCAGATCGGGGTGAGGAGCAAAAGCTGAGAAGAGTTGCAACGCACCGGGGTCGAGAACAAGCGCGCGCAGCGGTTAGGCCTGCGCTACCGGGGCCAGCGGGGAGAATGGATGGACACCCACTGGGAAAAGCCAGGACGCGCAGGAGGAGAGAAGTTCCACCCGTCCTTGGTTCTCGTCCCAAGACACGACACAGAGAGGGGGAGAAGACAGTGAGCAACAGACAAAGAGTCACGCAACGATAAGCACAGATCACTATATTTTATAAGCGCGACAACAACATAGGACAATGGTCTTGTCCAATGGACAAGAGGGTCTAGACCTGGCTGGTCAGGGCCCCGAATAGACCAGACACGGCCAGAAGCCCAGCCACCGCCAGGCATGAGCGCCAAAGCCGTGCGCGAGAGTTTCGAGAAGGAGCGAGCCATACTCGCCAGGCGCCTCTTTGCCTTCGTTTTTTTTAGCGTGGATATCTCAGGGTTCATGACGTAAGTTTGAAGGGTTGCTTTCGAATGCGGCTATTTTTTATCGAGTGTGCGTGAATGCAGGAGCTCAGCAAGGTTGTAAGAGGAATATGCATATACACCCACGGGAATAAGGAAAATATTATTTTCATTAAGGTCCTAAGGGGAGTACGTCCCTGAACCCTACACCCTAAACCCAAGTGACCAAGTAGTGCCGAAAGAAGTTGCTGGGGTTCAGAGTTGCCTCCTTGGCTTGGTGCGTTGGTAGGGTTTAGGGTTTAGGGTTTAGGGCTTAGGGTGGTCTAAGTTTATGGTTAGGCGGCCTTCAGTTCAGCGTTCTCATCAAATGTTTAGGCTTTAGGGTTTAGGGGTTTGTTCACAAGTCACTTTGTCGCCATGGTGTTGCAACTTGCAAATGGGTTTAGCATGGTTTATCGCAATGCCTTCTAGTTCTACGCATTCTAGTCCTAAGCTCATTCCCAAACCTTGACGCATTTCAACGATGTGTCGTTCGGGGTGCTTCGAAAGTATGGGCGCATGTGCACATTCCATCCGTGTGGAGGTCAGAGCACCCGCACATCGTGAAGATGTACGAATGCTTCGAAGAGCGCCATTCACTGTGGGTCGTGTCTGATGCCCAGGGTGTTCTCGTCGTCCGACGGTTTTGGAATTCGTCAGGCTGCAAATCAACAACTTCTAAGGTCAGATGGTGATCTTGCACAGATGTTCAGCTATAGCACACACTAGCTCTGAGAGCAAGTGCACCGCAGATGCAAGATGTTCAGCTTTAACAGGAACTATTATGAAGAAAGGGCTCCTTCGCAGACCTGCGGGAATCGTGTTGGTTTCTGCATGTTCCTCCCCCCCCCCCCCGTTGTCTCAAACTCAAGGCTCGAGCTGTGCCGCGGCGGGGAGCTCTACGAGTACATCGCCGCTGCAGCGGGGACCTAAGCAATACCACCTAGGCGCAATCACAGCTGGGTCAGGGCTCAGAATGTCTCATACCAGAAAGGCTGCCGATGCCATGTGACACTGTTTTGCCACGGCTTCGCCATGGCTTCGCCATGCTTTGCCACACGGTACCACAGATCAAGGTCTCCCAGAGATTCCTTTAAGCGCACGACACGTCATGCGCAGGCTGCAAGAGTCTGCAAGAGCCTTCCCGAGGCGCAGCAGAGGCGTGCAGAGGGAGGTGCCTTTGAAGAGCCGGTGCCCCAGTCTTGCGGAGTGGCATTCTGAAGGTTTAAGTCACCTCTGTGGCTGGAGGACAGAGGCCAGGACATACTTCCGGCAGATGCTGTACGCGGCGCCGGGCCCAGGAAACCACGACCTTCTTTCCTTTGGGCCGTTGCAGTGTTCCTGTACCCGATTCTTATAAGCTGCACGGGATTACGCTGGCCTTCGCAAACCAGCCATTGCTCCGCATCGGTGCCTGCGAGTGCTGGCTGGGTGTGCTTGGTCTGCTGGCCTCGAGGTCGCTTTCTTGCACAAAACCAGGATAGTGCACCGCGACATCAAGCGGCATCCTCAGCCTGTCAGGTCACGCGTATGTGGTCTGCCAGCGGGCCTTGAAGCTTCCAGGGGGGTTCTTGAAAATGCCCTAAACCCTAAACCCTAAACCCTAAACCCTAAACCCTAAACCCTAAACCCTAAACCCTAAACCCTAAACCTGAAGAAGATGTCCGAGGACTGAGAACTTCCTGCTGCTGGGGAGCCCTGGTACTCCGGAAGGTCCGTGCCTCAAAAACTCAGGGAGCCAACGACCTTCCTATATCCCCCTTAGGAATTTTCAAGTTTTTAATATATATATATATATATTATTTATTCATTTATTTATTTATTTATATTTATATTTATATTTATATTTATATTTATATTTATATTTACAACCCAAGAGGATATTTGACAATGTTATTGTTATTAAGGTTCTGAGGGGAGTCTAGCTACTTGTGGATCGCGACTCCCGCAAAGTCATCGTGGACTCCCCGACCCGACATTTGTGGCTACGGATACGGAATATGTAGCCAACCCTAAACCCTAAACCCTAAACCCTAAACCCTAAACCCCACGAGAAGCCCCTTAAACCCGCGCTGTGTGGCGGCGCTAGATTCTGACGCCTTCTATGGGGGTTTACGAAAACAGGGGACCCCTAAGAAACACCCCTAAATAAAAGAACCCTCCTAAAGGAGGACCCCAACGAGGTACCCCGAATATCGTAAGCCCCTCTAGAGGAGAAAACGATGAGCATGTACCCTGCTGGCCTCTAAGAACCCCTCTTGGCAACACCACCAAAAAGCACCCGAAGGTTTACCAAAATAAGGGGGGCCCCTAATAGAGTCCCCCTAAGTAGTAGGACTCCCTTTTAATAAGGACCCCAATAAGGTACCCATAATTTCGTAGAAACCCTAAACCCTAAACCCTAAACCCTAAACCCCCAAAGCTTTGGGCTCTCGAAGCCCAGGAAGTGTCATTAAGCTCTGTGACTTTGGGACGGCTGTGCAGCTCAGCCCGCAGATGCTGGCCACTCAGGGAGTTTAGGGTTTAGGGTTTAGGGTTTAGGGTTTAGGGTTTAGGCAATCTTTGCAGGTAGTAGGATGTGGGGGTTTACGAAAATGGGGGACCCTCAACATAGGCCCCCGCAATAGTAGGATCCCCTTATAATAAGGACCCCAGTAAGGCACCATTTAATCTTGTAAACCCCCATGTGTGGCCGCGTTCTGTGGACGTTTTGGGGCCTTGTGGGACGCGGGTTTTCGCGAAGTAAGGAAGCCTGAATGAAGTGCTCTCCATATCATTTTGCAACGGGATGCTGACAGTTGAAGGGTGTATGAGGGGCCTATGAAGAGGGCGAGATCAGAGATTAGAAGATGTAGGCACTTGGCACTTTCAATATGTACAAATCTGTAAAGTGCAAACGAACAATCTGAATGACAATCTGAAAGGCCGCGAGCAATGGGCAGAATAGGCCGAAAGCTCAGTCGGGGCGTGAGGTTTTCGGGAAACTTGGCAACAGTGAACCGTTTCTCTCAGGATACCTCAGGATTAAGAAAGCACCTTGCAGTTTGGGGTTGTGAGGTTGGGGTGATGGCTTGGGGGGTTTCGGTTTAGGGTCTCGTCCAGGTGTGGGGGCGGGGGGACCGTTTTCAGAATCCTGTCACTTCCAGCGTCTTTGCTTCTGGATGGTCCTTAGTTCTGAACTTCTTGGGTCACTGTAGTTCTGAATGGGTAGTTTCCGAGCCATGGCTGCCGATTCTGGGGAGCAGGCTAAACCTACTTGCCGCAGGCACTTTGTCCTACACGGCGCCAGAGATCTACGCACGTCGGGGTGCCGATACTTGATGCGGGCTCAGTGATGCCAGTGTCTAATGAATCCAGCTGTTCGCTTTATGTGGGAGTTGTAGCTGCGTTTCTGTATGTATACTTCTGCCTCCCCCCCCCCCACCCCCATCTTTGGCCCATTTTGGCCAATTGCACCCTGAGGCGCTGACATTTGGTCGCTTGGCGTGGTGCTCTACGTGCTGATGGACCGGGCCACAGCGTGCACTCATGCTCAGTCATGTGCAACCGTGTACCAGGCAACCTAGACAGCCCCGATGGCCATCCTGAATCAGCTTAGCTTGCCTAAGATTCCTGAATTCGCCCAAGCCCTCAAGGGCCCGTGCCAACATGTGAGCCAGCACACTCCGATCGTTGTTGGCCACACAAAATTCCTAGAGCATATTGACGGCCCCAGCGCTTATGGACCTACCAGGATAGCCTTGCCGTTGAGCACGAAAACCCTGACTTGGCAACTTGCACAAGGAGCAGTGCTCAATCATGGGGTTTCGTAGGTTTTCTTGGGAGACCTTGCCCACACCTGAAGCTTGAACTCGAGCCCTGGCAAAGCAAACCTTACATACTATTTGCAGTGCCCTGTGTGCGTACCCATGGTTTGCCCTCAAGTACCGCCACAGTGGGGTTTGTTCAAAGCTCAGGGCCCACTGCGCTTCGCAAACAACCCACATCCGAAGCTTGAAAACTATCCCCGGGACTCGCAACCGTGGGCTACTCCCTTTGCTGCGCTCAGGTCGGGGCGAGCCCATTCAGGATCACAGGCTATGCACCTAGCAAGGAAAAGCATTGGCACATGGAGAAGCAGCGTGTTGTGCGCCCTGCACCGGGTGTGCTAGCAGGGTAGGCATGCGAACTGGGCATTGCTGGTCGCATGCCCGTCTCCCATCAGATACTGCACAAGGTTCAGCATAGTCTGCCGATTCTTGATTTTCTGTGTCATACCATGTCATGCTTTCGGAGGCCCAGCCTGCAAGCGTACAGAAGTCCTCTACTTTGAAAGCACAGATGTCCAGGGAGATGTAACACTAGTCTAAACAAAGCCATGCGGTATGCTCCCACAGCGAGGCACAGAAACTCGAGCAGAAACCTCGCAACGGATATTGGCAGGCAGGCTTTCAGCAAACTCAGCATACCTTGTGCCAGTTTGTAGTAGTATCATGCAGGCATTGCAGGGGTACTACACGATTCAATCTCCAATGCCTACTGCTACCTCCTACTACTGCCTACTACTACCTACTACTACCTACTACTACCTACTACTACCTACTACTACCTACTACTACCTACTACTACCTACTACTACCTACTACTACCTACTACTACCTACTACTACCTACTACTACCTACTACTACCTACTACTACCTACTACTACCTACTACTACCTACTACTACCTACTACTACCTACTACTACCTACTACTACCTACTACTACCTACTACTACCTACTACTACTACCTACTACTACTACCTACTACTACTACCTATTACTACCTATTACTACTACCACTACCACCACTACGACGACGACTACTACTACCACTACTACCACTACTACCACTACTACCACTACTACCACTACTACCACTACTACCACTACTACCACTACTACTACTACTACTACCACCACTACGACTACTACTACCACTACTACTACCACTACTACTACTACTACTACTACTACTACTACTACTACTACTACTACTACTACTACTACTACTACTACTACTACTACTACTATTGCTACTACTACTATTATTATTACAACTACTACTTCTTCTTTCTTCTGCTACTACTACTACTACTACTACTACTACTACTACTACTACTACTACTACTACTACTACGAGTACTACGAGTACTACTAGTACTACTAGTACTACTAGTACTACTAGTACTACTAGTACTACTAGTACTACTACTACTACTACTACTGCTACTACTACTAGTACTAGTACTAGTACTAGTACTAGCCAGCGGCGCTTTAGCCGTACACACTTTTTAGGGTTTAGGGTTGAGGGTTTAGGGTTTAGGGTTTCGGGTTTAGGGTTTAGGGTTTAGGGTTTAGGGTTTAGGGTCCTTAAACGGAAACATGACTCTTTAACCACAAAATAGAGCTGCCGTCTAGGCGAAACACATGTTTCACAGACGAAAAGGGGTCAGTTTGCGCGCCGCCGGGTAGTACTACTAGTACTACTAGTACTACTAGTACTACTAGTACTACTAGTACTACTAGTACTACTAGTACTACTAGTACTACTACTACTACTACTACTACTACTTCTACTACTACTACTACCACTACTACTCCTACTCCTACTCCTGCTCCTGCTCCTGCTCCTGCTGCTGCTGCTACTGCTACTGCTACTGCTACTCCTACTCCTACTACTACTACTACTACTACTACTACTACTACTACTACTACTACTACTACTACTACTACTACTACTACTACTACTACTACTACTACTCCTACTGCTACTGCAACTGATACTGCTACTGCTACTGCTACTGCTACTGCTACTGCTACTGCTACTGCTACTGCTACTGCTACTGCTACGGTGGTGGCAGCAGCGGGAGTAGCAGCAGCAGCAGCAGCAGCAGCAGTTGTAGCTAGTAGTTGGTCGTTCGCAATTCGCAGTCAGCAGCTCTGTACTGAGTCGCAGTTCATGGTAATTCCTTGTAGGTAATAGTGGGTATGTAGTAGATGCTAGTAGATAGAAGGTAGGAGTAGTTGGTAGTTCTAGTCAGTAATCATTTGTTTAGTGTCCGAGCCTGTTGAGCACTGGTTTGCGATTCACTGGAGCATGTTTAGCTCAAATTGCCCACACGCAGGAAACTATGACAAGCTTCGCCCCGGTTGGAAGAAGTGCTCGGACAAGGCTAAGGACCACAGCCATGTCAGCAGCTGTCCTCCTACATGGTTGTCGCAGCCATGGTCGCTGCTTTTAGGCTTTGGACTGCAGTGGGTTTAGGGTGTGCCAAACGTGCCAGTGCAAGCAGCGAAGTAGATTGAGTGATTGTTCTGTTGGCGGGCTGAGGGATAAGGATTTAAGTCACCCTTCTTTCCCCCGGTCAAAAGCAGCAGCCACTCTAGCACATGCATAAGGGTCGATACTTGTTGCATCGCAAGTGGTCGGGTGCAACAAGTTGTCGCGATGCTTAAGCAGATGAAACCCAAACCCTAAACTCTAAACTCTAAACCCTAAACCCTAAACCCTAAACCCTCAGATGAAACCAAACAATGTCCAACAAAGCTTCGGCCCGTTGCCAGGACTTGGTCGGCAAGCTGCTGGTGGTCGAGGCAGCAGCAAAACACACAGCTAAACATACCCCTTATATGTACACACTACAAGGTAAGGGCCTAGACATCAGAACCCTCTTTAGAGGTTTAGGAACCACATTAAGCCTTATGTACCCTATACAAGTTACCCATCAGAGCACTCTTCAGAGGTTAGGGACCATAATAATGGCCCAGACATCAGAGCCCTTGTGGACTTTGGAGGTCCCCTCTGGCGTGTGTGTGTGGCTTCAATGCTTCGAGTGCACAACCACTGCTGCCACCTACGATCCTACTATTTGCTTAAGAACCCCCCAAAACATGCAAAAAACATTCTTCCTCATAAGGGCAATAAAGGGATTGTTGTTTTTTTGGGTGGGGGAGTTCTAGTCGGATCAGGTTTCGTTTCTGCCTGCCTGCCTGCAAGGAAGCCAAGAGGCTCGACATCAAGAAGGCGCTACAGCATTCGTGGCTGGCGCTTGAGCCTTACCATTGCATGATGGTAGCAGATCAACAACTGGTGACATGGTGGACAGGAACCCGCCATATCCCGCGCACGTCACGGGACTACCATGTTTGACATCCTGTCGCCAAGGCCCTCCACCGTGAGCACGCCGGCTGTGTTGCTCGAAGAGCACAGGCACGACCTGAACCAGCCCTGGTCTGTCTAGTCATGCTAGTTGGGCTCATGTTTGTTTATGCAAGCCACATTCGCCTCCCACTGATGGCTTGTGTCCCGCAGCTTGGCCTGTGTGTGCCACTTACGACAACTGTTGAGCCACGTATGCTGTTGCCAAGCCTCACAGGAACTTCTTCTCCTTCCTGGACAAGGACGCATCCAGGGGCGATATGTATTTGTCCCGTATGTATGTTGCGCATCACCTCTGGAAGGAGCTGTCTCTACAAAATCTCGCTGCCTACGTGCAGCCATTGCCAGGGGCTCTCTGCGGGCCCGGGGTGAACGTCGGATGGTGTGAGGTGTATTTTAGCGGCCTGATGTGCGCTAACACTCCGCGCAGAGCGTTGTCTGTTCTGGCCATCGCCAGTCTTCATGCCAGTGTTCCAGATTTGCACATGATGCTGGTTGCTGCCTTCATCATCGTATTAGCTTGTGCCCCTTGCTCAAGTTGTGCCTGGGCCTCTTTCCTCCGTTCTCAAACCTCTGACAGAGAACTATGGGTCTGTGGGGTGACTCCAATGTTGCTCCAGGTTGCACCTCTTGACGTCCTTTGCCCGCCTGGATCCACTCCAGCATTTGTTCATGGTGGTCTACGCGCAGGCAGGGGGCGGGTTCTACGGCGGCATTCGCAAAGAAGTCCGCCTTGTCTGGTTCTGATGAGGAATTGCTGAATTCGAATCTCTACCAGACTCTAACATATCCTCACTCCCCCGGCCCGGCCCGGGAGAGGGGAACCGCCACGGAGTAGTTGGCTGGACTGCAGTGCATCCTGTGCAGGATAGAAAAACTTCAAAGCTTTTCTAGCCCCTGCAAGCCGAGGTGTCTCCAGACATTGATCTTATCACGGCCGGGTTTCGCCTGCCATGGTGCCCTGCAAGGGCATTGAGGCGCACAGGATGCGAAGACTGTGAGGAGACATCTGGAGCTCATGTGACGACACGGGAGACTGACTCTCTTCTTGTTTCTCTCCATCTCTCTTTCTCTTTCTCTTTCCTCTCTCTCTGCCTCCCTCTGCCTCGCTCTCGCTCTCGCTCTCCTATCTACATACATATATATATATGCAGATATCTCTCTCTCTCTCTCTCTCCCTCTCCCTCTCTTTCCGCTTTGATCGCGGATGCAAGTCTGTCTGTGTGTATGTGTATGTACATATGTATGTATGCCAGTACTTTAATTATTCCTGCGAAGGTGTTGTATGCAGGTGTATCATATATATACACATATATATGTGTGTGTGTGTTATATATGTATATACACACATGTGTATGTTAGTTTTTTGTACATATACATGACTTACATAGAGTGTACACTCTTACATGTATTATGTATGTTGTCGGACATCTGGAGGGCAGTACAACAAACATTGCATCAAACGATGCGATGATGGTGTGACAGTGGGAGTTTACGAAAATAAGGGGCCTATAATAGCCCCCCAAATAGTAGGATTCCCTTATAATAAGGACCCCAAGAAGGTACCCCTAATTTGGGAAACCCCCAGTTGGCGAACTGTGAGGTACGATTTGTTTTTCGCCCTGGACATGGACTGCGATGGAAAGCTAGGCCCGGCTACTTGTAGGGTAGAAAGAGAGACTTGCGAGACTTCGTGCCGATGTCTTGCCAGGTTGAGTCAGTATGGCAAAACTTCCTTTGGTCTCCTGCGCTTGGGAACCTCGTAGTTTCTGCCCCGACACATACTCATCTACACCCTAAGACCTCCTGCGTCTTTACAGCTTCTCTGCTAAAGCCTCCTGGGCCACGACAACCCTCTTTTCCAGCCGGCCCGCCCCAAACTCTCTTTGCCAAGATTCTTCCACATTCCCGAACCAGACCCGGAACCGTAGAAATCGGACCCGGAACCGCGTTCCATGTGACTCTTGCTGCTCAACACGTGTTGACAGGGCCACCATCACCACGCCACCGCCACGCCACCACCCCCATCATCCACCTCCACCATCATCCACAGTTGCTGCCACTGTTGCCAGTAGTAGTGGGCTCATCATGTTCCTCCAGCCAACCCCAGCCTTCCGGTAGAGTTCAACCATTGTACCCTTGCCTTTGGTTGGGGAAGAGAGGAGTATAGGCACATCTGGTGAGGACTGGACGAGCTCGCGGAAGGCCTTCAAAAACTGCTGGACCTGAGCTCAAGACCCGCGCCCGACGAGGCCCGGAAGAATGAGCCCTCGTGCATCCGTAGCTCTCTCTGTGATCGTTGTAGCTTCCAGTAAACCCTAAACCCTAAACCCGAAACCTTAACCCCTAAACCCTAAACCGCTCTGGGCCTAGTTTCCTGGAGTTCCCCTGCTCAACCCCAGAAGGACAATCGGCTATAATCATTCAGATATATGAGGCTTGATGAAAAATCCCTAACAGAATATAGGCCCCCAAATACTAGGATCCCCTTGTAATAAGGCCCCCAAGAAGGTACCCCTAATTTCGGAAACCCCCCACATGCCATAAAGCGTCCCATCCATGCCTTAAGCATCACACGCTCACCAGAGTTTGCTCGATCCGCTCAGCTCGACCTGGCCGATGCGGTGCAGTGTTTGGACCTGGCCTCTTGCCTTGGCAGGTTAAAGCGGCGGTAAGGAAACCTGAGTTTCAGAGACATGGGGTAGGTTTCCTTGTGGACTGTATGACTCTGTGGTGGCCAGCAGACCTCGGTTCCAGCCATGACAATGACAGACAAAATGGACCAATAGCGCCATCAAGGCTCAACAGCAAGCTAGGGCCGAAAACGATGAAATGGCATGAGCGAGCTGTGCGTCAGACAGACAGAATCCCTCAGAACTGTCAGAACCCCCCAGGGCCAGCTCTAATTGTGTTCGTCGGGCTTGCTGGACGACGCCGTAGACTGGTACCTTCTGCTGACGGTACCTGAGAAAGACGCTCCCAAAACCTTGCGCAAGCCAGATTTTGAGAGTCTTATGATACAATAGGTAGATATTCAAGCAGATCTGCGGACTTGCTTAGCTTTGTGCTTTTTGTGTATTTGACGGCCGCCTCTTGCACGACGCCTGTGCCTTTCCCATGCTACTGATTTTTGACATTTTCTGCTGAATTCGGCCAGCGTTTGTTGTGCGCGTGCCTTTGCGTGCGCGTTTCGGGGGGATTCGGGGGGTATCTGGGTGTGTGTGGGCATGTATGTTGGCGTGTGCGTGGGCAGTGTTTGTCTGTTTTGTTTCGTTTCGTTTTGTTTGATTGTTATATGCGCCTTGGCGGCGTGTTGGCTTTTAGTTTGTGTGTGTGTGCGTTCACGAGCAGCATTCACACCAAACCGCGGCCGGAGCACGATTTCGAACATAAGATGCGACATGGGCAAGGGCCAAAAACTTGGATTTTTGCATGATGGAGCACATGATCTTCTGTTCACCCAAGATGGACGCCACGCCAAAGTTGCTCGCCCCTCCGTGCCTTCCCCTGAACGTTGCAAGCGGCCTACAGAACCATGATTCCCAAGGTTTTCAACCCCCAAAGTTTGAGGTTGCATGAGGGAGGAGAAATTCCGACGCATCCCGCGAAACAAATACCGACAGGATCCTATCACGTTCTGCGCAGGCCACAAAAGCCAGGGAGAATTGGCTATAACTAACGTAACTAAACTAGCTTTGAAATGAGTTCAAAACAACTCTCAGCAGCATCAAACAAGCAAACTTCATGAATCTCCACGAATCTCCGACCTCTCACCCAACCTCCTCTCTGCCCGGCTGCTCAGGATGAGAACGGCTACGTGGACTGGGTGGAATGGGCCGCCATGGCGCTGTGCTCCAGCCCGTCCCTGGCCTCCGAGCCACATGGCAAGAGTTGGGGCGTAGGAGCTGATGGAGGGGGAAGGGGGGGGGGGGGGGTAGAGAGCTTTCAAGTAGGATTTAGCAGCGTCTTCAGAAGTGGGGGTCATTGTCCAGTGCACCCCGGAAAAACTCTGCGAGAGAGAAACATTGAGGGCCTTGCAGGGCATGTTGAGTCAGTCTGAGACACTGCAAGGCCTGAGCCTCTCAGAACCGTGTTCAGGACGGGCGTTGAAGCTTGACTTGAGCGCCGAAGGAATCCTCTTAGATACGAACGGGTGCATTTGGGGCATGGAGTTGCGGCTCAGACATGTCACAGTCTCCTCTGACATGTCCCTGTCTTCTTTCATGTTGCTCCGTCACAGGGAAGGCAATGCCGACTTATAAGAGTCCTCCACGGAGTAATGATCCGCCTCCTGACGCCCCAGCCGCCCTCGATGCTACAACGATAGAAGAGACTTGGGGTGTCTTGCCCCAGTCTTACCCTTAACGGCGTTGCCTTTGTGTTAGTGCAGGATGATCGACCGACCCTCTGGCGATGGCGTAATAACAGCCCGGCGCGCAGTGTGGCTGTGTGAATGGATCTCTGAGTCTGAGCCGTGAGGGTCTCCAAACCCTAAACCCTAAACCCTAAACCCTGGACCCTAAACCCTAAACCGAAAATCTGCCTAAGACATTGGGGTGCAACCACTAAGGCTTGGGATGTTTCCACCTTGTACTAGCAGTCCTCACTAGGGATTCTAGATAATCACTGTTAAGGAGCTGTTAGTATAAGGGGGAACATCTCAAGTGCAACCGCTCAGGCTGTTGACTTGCTTGCGATTCTCAACGACAGTGGAGGCAGGTCCTTTTCACCTGTGGATCTGTATGGCCTTGTTGTGACGGTGACAGCGCCAGGCCGGACTCAGACTCAGTCTCTTCAAGACGAGGCCGCCGTGGGTTTGGGGTTTAGGGTTTGGGGTTTAGGATTTAGGCGCAAGTCCTGTCGCGATTTAAGACCGGCCAACCCTGGCTTGGTGTCAGAAGGGTTCAGCTCTGCTTCTTTCGGTACGGAAGGCCGCTGAAATGCCCAGTCATGCCGTACAGGCTATACACAGCAGGCACATACCGGATGACGATGGCTGTTTCTTGCATGAGCAAAAGCAGAAGAGACGGCTCTTCAGGCGAGATCTTTGCTTGAGAAGTGGTCCTCCAAGGAGTCCCAGGCCTGATTGGCAATCTGTTCACCGAGTTCGGGGGGGGGGGGGGGGGGGGGGGGGGGGGGGGGGGGGGGGGGGGGGGGGGGGTCTCGCAGCTCGTGGCCTCAGGGACCTTTCCTAACACACGGTTATGACATAAAAGATGTGCTTTTGTAGTGCTTCTCGCACTACGCAAAGAACGTTTTGAGCTGCTGTGGTTAAGGCTCACAATTATTATGTCGATTTGCCTTCGCTATATGTGCTGTCGCTATATGTACGTTTGCTATCGCTATATATATATATATATATATATATATTTATTTATTTATTTATATTTACGTTTGCTACTGACTTTTAAGTGATTGGACCTGATCGGACTTCATCAGTGACAATTAAGAAAAAGTGCAAAATTTCACTGTCCAATTAGTCACATGCACGTGCTGCAGGCTAAAAAGCTATTTAGGCATCCTCGATGGTGACCATTTGCAGGACCCAAACTACGAACTTAACTTTCAACAGAATTAACTTTTAGTGGGTTTAGGGGCCTGGATAATTCTTAGACTATTATTAAATTAATGGGATCTGTGACACTGGGGTTATGGCGAATCAGGCGCCAATTCTCTGGGAACAGTGGGATTTTGGTCCTGTTGCTTTAGGCTGTGGCAGCCCCGTCCACATATGTAAATCAGTTTCT